AGGATTCTCGTGGTAAGAATCTGACCGCTTTTTGCAAAGAGAATATGTTGCATCTCCGTATCGTCCGAAAATGGAGAGCTGAGTATGATAACTTCAGTCAACAGGTGCAGAAGGGAAATGCCAAGAAGCGCAGGTGTGGATCAGGTCGGCATCCATTATATCCTGAACTTGAAGACACCTTCTCTCAATGGATTGCTGACAGGAGAGCAAAGACTTTGGTTGTACGCAGGGCTGATATTCAAGCATTTGCTCTTGCAATGGCACCACAGTTTGAAATTACACAAGGAGAATTCAAAGCCTCTCATTGCTGGCTGGATGGCTTCCTTCAGTGATATGAATTGTCTCTGAGGAGATCCTCCTCGCTCTTCAAGCTAGAAGATGCTGAAATTGTCAAACGGGCACTTGCTTTTAAATCATTTGTTGATGCCATTGATTTCTCCAAATATTATGTCTCTCACATGATTGCGATGGATGAGACTGCAGTTTTGGGGGGCCAAGAGGCTCAAACAACAATTGATAAGAGGGGTGCCTCGTCAATTTACATTTCATCACCTGGATATGAAAGTGCACGTATTACGTGCATCTTGGCCATTCGCCTGGATGGGATAAAAGTAGCACCACTTGTCATTGCCAAGGGCAAACAAGAAAAAATTGAATGTGTTTCAGGGACTTATGTGCTTGAAACTGAAAAAGCTTGGTGCACACAGGGTGTTATAAGGAAGTGGATTGAGTTAATACTGCCACTTGTTGTGCGAGGTGGCCAAAGAGTCATGTTGACATGGGATGCAGCCAGCACTCACCGTGCCAAAGACATGAAGCGTTTCCTTGCACAAAGAAGAGTGGATCAAATAATGATCCCAGCAGAAATGACAGCACATCTCCAAACCCTGGACATTGCAGTAAACAAACCATTCAAGGACAATCTGCAGGTACAAATCAATGACTATATTGAGAATCGCATGGAGAGAAACCAACGAGGAAACTTTGTGAAGCCTAGCCTGGCAGAGGTTGTGAGTTGGGTGAAGAAGGCATGGGATACCATCACTGACACCTGTGTTGCCAATGCACTACGAGCAGGATACATGGACAAGAGATACTCCTTTAAGGAGACCTCTATTGCTACACATCAGCGATTGGGACGAATTCCTTTACAGGCAATGGAATCACAAGAGATGGGGGCTTTGGAGGGTTATGACCATGTTCCAGAAGAAGATGACATAATTGTTTTTGAATAAATTGTTCCTATGTATGTTTGCATAAATTGTTCCTGTGTTTGAATAAATTGTTCCTGTGTTTGAATAAATTGTTCCTGTATTTAAATAAATGGCTTGGTTTATTTATTTTTATTAAAATGGTGGATTTTTAATAAATTGGGGTGTTGCTTTGTGGTTCCCCTGGGGGTGGCGGCTGGGATTTGGGATGCAGTTGGTAAGTTACAAAAGGGTTGTTTATCATTAAGATCTGCTTTGTGATCAAAGGCAACGTGAAATGAGAGCAGGAAGGAAAGAAGTAGCAGCTTGTGCTTAACCGGAGTTTCTGAACCTGAAGGTCCCTGCTCTTCTGCCACCTCTCTTTTGTTGGTGCAATTTACCTGGGGAGGGGGGTTGTCCCAAGACACTTTGAGTTTATTCATTCATTTATGTTTCCCCAAGGGGCTTTTTGGGGGGCGGGGGAGTGTTTCTCCCCTGGAATGCAGCCATCATCTCTCCCGGGCCCAGCAAGACGCCGTGCTCCCCACTGGAGGGAGTTGGGGGTTCAGGGAAGTGTCCTGCTAATCATTAAAGCAATCTGAAAGACCACCTTTTGGGGCCACCAGGATGATCTTCACCCAACTCAGGCAAAAAACCCAGGAGCCCCTCCACTCCACCCCCTCCCTGCCCACCCCAGTGCCTGCTCTGCTCAAGTCAGAGATGGGGGGGGGGAAGGAAACAAGCCTTGGATTCCCAGAGTGCACCTGGGAGGGGGCTTGTCTAGGATGGAAACTAAACAGGATTGGAGCTGGGATGGAGTCGCCAGGAGAGGATTTCCAAGGCTGCAGAGAGAAGTTTAAAAGAGTGGGACAGGAGAAGACAAAAGCTTCTTTAGCTACCCTCCTGAGATCCAAATGGTTGCAGTGGGAAATTGAGGCGGGGGGCGGGGAATGGGCTATCTGAGTGGACGAAGAAGAGCGGCTGGTTCAGGAAGCATAAATGAAGCGGGAATCTTGGGGTCGTCTGATATTTATTCTGACAACAGCATATGTACATTGCATTGAGTTTGCAGTTGCATTGAGTTTGCAGTTGGTAACCTGATGCATAGGCATGCCTCGCCCCGAAGCGGCTGGGGACTCTGTCTTCAAGGGAGATTTCATCTGCCGATAGAAGCGGCCTCGCGGCGAGGGAAGTGTGTGTGTGCACTCATCACAAGGCCGCTTCTACCGGCCGATCGAAGTGGCTGTGACTGCATTTGGGGAGCTTCCATCACCCGAAAGAGACTGCCCGAAAGGCGAGGGGACATGGGCAGCCATGCCTCGCCCTGAAGCGGCTGGGAACTCTGCCTTCAAGGAAGCTTTTGTCAGCCGATAGAAATGGTCTTGTGGAGAGGTACGTGCGTATGGGCCGCTCTAGGTGGAGGAGGAAATTAAGTCACCCCCGAAAAGACGGCCTAGCCGTTTTTTCAGGGGTCAAAAAAAAAATAAGGCCCGGCCTTATTTTATGAGAAACACGGTACATATACAGGCAAAGACAAGAAAACAAAACAGAAAAGGAAAACAGAACTCTCAGGTTTACACACACACTGGTCATTCCCACCATAAATCTCAGTTCAATTAGGGAAGGCACAGATCTTAACAAATGTAGCACATGGTGGCTTAGAAGACAGAGAAAGAGACAAACAAATGAACAAAAAACTCCATGTGACCCTGTTTGTATATTTCCCTTTTCTTTTAAGTATCCTTATTTAGCCAAATTTGACTTCCTGTGTCATCCCTCAGCGAAGCCCATTTCCTGCACATCTCTTTCGCTCTCCTTTTGTTCATACCGGCCAGGACCGGCACCTGCCATTCATCCCAAGCTTCGAGCAAGTCTTCTAGGGAAGGTTCTTGCCATGGCCCTCAAGCTATAGCTCCCCATGTTCCCTTTTTCTGTAGGGTTCACTTTGGCTTAGTTGGGTGAAAGTTTGGTTGCGTCTTGGTGGGTGGTACAATGAATGGCTTTGCTTGATAAAGGTAGAACTTTGTTATGTAGAATAGAATGGCTCAAGCCTTAATGGTCCATAAAAAGGTGTGTGTGTGGGGGGGTGTTTCTGCCTCTCTGAGTTTCTATTTCTCTTATATTCTGCCTTTTCAAGGTAAGGTAAAGGTTCCCCTCACGCATACGTGCTAGTTGTTTCCGGGGGTGGTGCTCATTTCCGTTACAAAGTTGAAGAGCCAGCACTGTCCAAAGACGTCTCCATGGTCACGTGGCCAGCATGACTAAACGCCGAAGGTGCATGGAACGCTGTTACCTTCCCACCAAAGTGGTCCCTATTTTTCTACTTGCATTTTAACATGCTTTTGTTGGCAGAAGCTGGGACAAGTAACGGGAGCTCACTCTGTTACGCAGTGCTAGGGATTCGAACCGCCGAACTGTCAGCCGTTCTGATCGACAAACTCAGTGTCTTAGCCACTGAGACACCGCGTCCCTTCTTAATATATCCTAAAACATTTCATTTTTCTAGGATAGGGGTGGGTTTTAACTTCCAACAGTTTAATGGTAGACAGCAGGACCACATGATTTGAGGTCCTGAGCAAAAAGAGCACATGGGTGAGAGAGGGAGAGAGATTTATAACTTTGAATTTGCATCCTGTTTCTGTGGCAAGAAATGCATCCTGACTGGTTGTCAGACAGGGGCAACTTTGTAGGTTGTCTTTTGAGTCCGAAGCTTGGTTGAATCTTGCTGGGGGGTGTAATGAAGGGCCTTTGGGCAATTCCTATTATGGCTTAATGGCTTTGCCGGGAAGGATCTTAAGTGAGGATATTTGCTTATGAATAGACAGACCTAGCCATCTCTTTATTTCTTAAGTACTGACATCTGCTGTGGGCTATTGAGGAGGGTGGGGGCTATTAAGAGTTAGTTTGCTTCCTGCCTAAAAACATGTTTCTCCATTTCTCATCAAGGGAAATATAATATTCTGCCTTTTTAATATTTCCCAGAATATTTCGTTCTTCTAGGAGAGGGGTGGGTGCTAACTTCCTACATATGGACAAATATGAAACATGGAACTCATTTATACTGTAGGTTGAAGATGAGTGATAAGATATACAAATGTGTTAGAAATATATATGTACTTTAATAATATGTAGATATTATACAGAATTATAACTCTGATATACTTTGCATTTTTCTATTTTTTAAGTTTTTTAAAATTGTTATATTTTTCTGTTATTTTTAAAAGCAATTCTAAAGAGATGTTTGAAATTCCTGCTTAGAGCCCATCCCTCTTCCTTCCAGCAGAAACACATTAAAAATGATTTTGTTGTTATCGTTCTGCAATCGTCATTTTAGCGCTCTCGGGTGTGAATATGTTTTGATTTGTAGTTAGTTTAAAAAAAACACATGTCCGTCCTGCCGTGACCGTCCACGATATGTACATGGCTGGGGATGATGGGTGTTACAACCGGACGCATCTGCAGGGGCCCTGTTGGGGAAGGCTTATCTGCAGGAGGCATCTCGTCCCGAAAGATCTCTGGGCCGTGGAGAAGCAACCAGACTCTTCCCCCGATTCCCCCCCTCCCGCCATCAACTCGCCTTGAAATCCCAGAGGGTGGAGGGAAGAGGAAATCGTTTTCATCGAAGATGCCTGACTACGCCCCGCTACCTTCTTTCAACTGACTGGCACCCCGCCCGAAGCGACCATTTGCACGTCAGAAACGCAGCGGGAGCTTAAAGTTGCTAAGGCGGAGAGCGCACCAACTTCGGACTTGAAGCATCGGCCCGCTTCATCTAGAAAAGCGACCCGCGTCACCGTTTGCAAACCTTGCATCTCCCCGTCCGGTCCAGCCATGGCCGACGACGAGGAATTCGAGTAAGTCGACATTGCGATCGAGGCAGATCTAGAAAGGGGAGCGGGGGTGGTGGGTGGTGGTGGAGGCTAAATCCAGAAAGTTGGATCGGATTTCCGTTAGTGGGAAAAAGCTGGGACGGAAGACAGCGCCGCGAGTTGCCACCGGCCCTTTCCGATCAGCTGCTTTGTATCTCTTGGATTGAGTTAGCGCGGCCGGGAGATTGAAGGCTGGGTGGGGGTGCTTTTGGGTTCGGGGCTGAGGGAGGGGGACGGCGCTCGTGCAGCCGAAACCAGAAACGCCTCATCCCACGGCCTCCCCTCCCGGTTAAAGAACGAAGTTGGGGAAGGGGGAGTTAAGAGAGAAAAGCGAGGGAAAAAAAAAAAAGCCGCCTCCCAAATCTCCAAAGGATGTGGAGTTGAGATCTGCCTCAGCGCCCTATTACGAAATAAAAACGGACGGGAGGACATTCACTCCTGTTGCTTCACTCTGTCTGTCGGTCTGTCTCCCTCCCTCTCTCTCTGTGTTTATCTCTCTGCCTGTCTGACTGTCTCCTCTTCACGCCTTGCGTGCAATTGAAACAATTGAGGGGAGGGGAGAGGCTTTTAACTCTTTCCGAGGTTTCTCCCTAATGAAGGGAACATTTTTTTGTTTTAGGAAAGCTGGAGAAGGGCCCTCCCTCCTCCTGGCCGGTGGCCTGTCAGAAAGAGACTCCCCTCCCCACCGCCACCCCTTATCTAAATCCAGCACTTTCGAGTGTGAATTTCGATGCGCTGTTCCTATCTCTATTTGAAGTCAGGCCAAGTTTTTTGACTATCTTCCAGGAAAACCCTAGGGCTGTTCCTTGCCCCATTTGCAGCAGCCCAGTAAGAATAAGCTCTGGCACACCTGTTTCTTCCCCTCTCTTTTTCTGCTGGGCCTCTTGACTGCCTTAATTCCATTCTTAGCCCATGATGAGGCAGGCTTAAATTTAGCTGTACCAGTGTTAAAACAGTGTCTCCCCCCCACCCACCCCCTTTAATCCGGCTCTAGATACAATCCAAGAGATCCTCAAGCTGTTTAAAAGTTTAAAACACAAGATTTGCAAAAGACTAATTTTTAGAAGAAAAAGTGAAAAACAAGTTACCCAAATAGTAAAACCAGCATAAATTACGGAAAAAAAAAATTATGCTGTGAAAGAAAGCTTGGGCGGGGGATTGGACTAGATGACCTACAAGGTCCCTTCCAACTCTGATTATCTGTAAAGGTACAGGTAGTTCTTGAGCTAGGACCACAGTTGAGCTGCGACCAACATTTATGTTCGTAAATGAAACATTTGTTAAGTGAGTTTTACAACCTTTCTTTCAACAGATGTTAAGTGAATCATTGCAGTTGGTTACATAGTTTTTAAAGTGAATCTGGCTTCCCCATTGACTTTGCTTGTCAGAAGGTTGCAAAAGCAGATCACATGATCTCGGGACACTGTAACTATCATAAATATGAACCAATTGCCAACCATCTGAATTTTGATCACATGGCCATGGGGATGCTGCAATCCGAAGTGTGAAAAATGGTCATAAGCCACTTTTTTTCAGTGACATGTAACTTTGAATGCTCGCTCAATGAACTGCTGTAAGTTGAGGGCTACCTGTATGATAATATAATAAGACACCCCCAAATTATCTATTTAAAATATGATTGCTACACAGTGAACAAAAAGATATCAAGCTCTATAGCTTGATATCTTTTTGTCAGCATATTGCCCAGATTTATACTAGCTAAGTTAAGCTAGTTATTCTTTTAACCACCCTTTGTTGACTAAATCCTAGTGTCCTGAAGAATGGATCAAAAAGCAGGTTGTGCATCTTTGAGAGTGAAATTGAATTTATTAACAGGTTGCAATATCTAGGGACTGAATACAAAGTTGTTTAATGGATACACAAAATGGCCAATATTTATAAAAAGTTTCGGACAGAAAAAAGCCATTGAAAAACTTGTGCCAGAGAATCATAGAAAAATGACCAAATCTGCTGTTACTATATAAGCCCTGTTGCCAAAAGTCAAAATAAATAAGTGTAGACCAGCTGGATTCACACATCACATCAAACCATATAGCTTTTTAAAATAGATTTTTGTGGTCTGTCCAGATTTCAAATGGTTTCTCCCCTCTTCCAGTAGGTGGCGCCAGGTTAGCAATGCCCCAAAGCCTCTTTTTCCCATGTGACCCATTTCCTCTCTGTGTCTGAGTTTGCGGGAGGTGTAGGTGCAGGGCTGTAATTTTCCTTGGCTATTTCTTTGGAGTATCACTGCTCCCACTGCCATGTCGCTGGTGCCTATCTCATTTGAACCCAAATCAAACAAACGGCATGATCTGAAATTCCAGCTTGGGAAACGTCAATTCCTATTCTAAAATGATGCCTCAAATTGTTAAGGACTGGCTAGTTCAAGCTGGAATGGAAATGGAGTGGTTCATCTGATTGTTGATTGTGCTGTTGCTATTATGGGCAGTGGGGTAAGAGTTTTATTATGGATTTTATTATGCAGTAGATTTTTTTTAAAAAATGTAAGCTTTCTAGGAGGAGAGTTGGGTGCTATGTAAATTTTCTTAATAAAATAAAATACACATATTTCTCCCACACACAGCTGTACACACATACATGGACAACCTCTCACACATATAACTGAATATATAGAAAAAACATATTTGATGGAAGAAACGGGTAACTGCCAAAATCCTCTTTTCTCCCTGAGGATCAGATTAAAAAGCCTTCTGGTTTTATTAGCATTGCCAGTGAAAGTGAAAACTTATGTTGAAGAGAAATGAATTTGTTTAGTTGGTGTTCAGGTAGGACTGAGGAAGTTTGAGAAACAAGTCATGAGCTGTTCAGCTGTATTGCCAAATTCTAAAGTATGAGTTTGAGTTTAATGCGTGAACCAAGCCCTGTTTGTTTTGGACTGAGAGTAATTCTGTGCCACTATTACTCATAGATCCCCTCCAATGCAAATTATTTCCTTTTGGTTGCTCTGCCACTGTACTTTGAGGAAAGCTTCATTGTGTCACTTACATAATAAATGCCATCTCTGCATCTTGAAATAAGTATGTGAATACTCCAAACAATATACTAGAGCCATAAAGTTGGTTAGTTAGATCAATCCGTCAACTAACCAACCAATCATTGATCTAACGATACATCTGACAAGAGTGACTCTGGGTGGTTTTCATTGTTAAAACAACACTTTAACAATCCAATCCACAACAGTCAAGGTCAGAACAGTAATCCCAGTTTATAAAAACTAGCATTAAGCAGCAGAGCTCATATCAGTTTCTGGCCCAAGTGCCTGGGGGAACAGCCTGATCTTAAGGGCCTTAACCAAAGGCTAACAGGAAGTGTGCTGATTCCCAGATTTCCAGAGAGATGTTATTCCATAGGGCAGGCTGTGCTACAGGAAATCATGATTCCACATGAGTTCATCTGATGAGATGAGAAGAAACAATTTTATAGAGTAGATTAGATTAGAATAGAATAGAATAGAATAGAATAGAATAGAATAGAATAGAATTCTTTATTGGCCAAGTGTGATTGGACACAGAAGAAATTTGTCTTGGTGCTTACGTACATAAAAAGATAAGATACATTTGTCAAGATTCATAGGTACTGTAGGAAGTTAGCACCCACACCTCTCCTAGAAAATTGAAATATTCTAGGAAATATTAAAAAGGCAGAATATTTCCCCTAAAAAGAGTAGAAAGCCAGAAGCAGAAACTCACCCACACCTTTGTTAATGGGTGGGCCATTAAGTCCTGGGCCAGAATACTTTATATAAGAAAGATCTCCAGGTAAAGCTATAGCAATTGCCCTAGAGCCCTTTCAGTGCATCATCATCCAGCAAGGCTCAACCAAGCCCGGAACTCAGGACAATGTACAGAGTTGCCCCTGCATGGCCCCATGAGAGTCTGACAACCAATTAGAAACGAGCTTCAATTCAAATCCCAACAAAGGTTATAAAACCCAGGCACTCTCAGCATATCAGCTTTTTTTCTTGATCTCTCCCTTCACCTTGAAGCACGTGATCATCCTTCCTTTTCACTCTAGAGCTCCAGGCCACGTGGTCCTCCTATCTACCATTAAACCTTCCAAACAGCCCCGATGTTTCCAGTGTCTTTTCCCCTCCTTGGAACTGAACCCAGAAGGATATTTCTTCCAACAGTACAACACTTTAATAATAATCATAGGGTACAATAAGCAATCAAATCATACTAGGAAACAGTCAATAAAAATCGTTAGGATACAAGCAACAAAAGTTACAGTCATACAATCGTAAGTGGGAGGAGATGGGTGAAAGGAAGGATGGAAGGATTAATAGTAATAGTAATGCAGACTTAGCCAGTTTGACAGTGTTGAGGGAAATATTTGTTTAGTAGAGTGATGGCATTCAGGGAAAAACTGTCCTTATGTCTAGTTGTTCTGGTGTGCAGTGCTCTATAGCATTCTTTTGAGGATAGGAGTTGAAACAGTTTATGTCCGGGATGTGAGGGGTCTGTAAATGTATTTTCACAGCCCTCTTTTTGACTTGTGCAGTATACAGGTCCTCGATTGAAGGCAGGTTGGCAGTAATTGTTTTCTCTGCAGTCCTAATTACTCTCTGAAGTCTGTGTCTGTCCTGTTGGGTTGCAGAACCAAACGAAACAGTTATAGAGGTGCAGATGACAGACTCAATAATTCCTCTGTAGAACTGGATCAGCAGCAACAATTTTATAGTAATATCTAATGTTGAATCTAATGCATTTGGCCAAATGATTACTTCTTAGGATCTTGGAAATAAAATATAAAATTTAATCAGATGGATAGACAGACAGATAATATTTAGGTATTTTGCTTTATTTTTACTTTATAGAGTTTTTTCTTTGCCTTCCTCTCCCCATACCCTGTTTCCTCCCCTCTTTTTTCTTTTTCATGTTGTTTTCTACCTATTAAATAGTTTCCCCCATCTCTTCACCATATAGTTTTTTTTCTATAATGGGTTAGGTTTCTTTTTTAAACTA